CGGGCTCAGCAGTTGTGCAGCAGCTGCCAGAGTACGAGCGACACCTCCGAAACAAGCGGCGGAGGAAGCGGCGGCCGCGGCCGCTCCTGCTGGAGCAGGGGGAGCATTTCCAGTTGGCTTTTAGTACCAAAGGTTTTCTGTCTCCTGAAATTGTTTTCTCTCCGTGGTCGGCTCCCTGGTTTCTGCTTCTCTTTCCATTCCCAGCGTCGTTTGTGTGTTACCTCTGTTGCAGTTCAGTGGCTGAACCCGTGTGCTGTGTGCTAAAGTTCCTTTTTAATGTTTGTGTTCAACTTCTTGGTGATTTGTATCTCTCAGCAAATGTCTTGAGGAATTGCTGTCCGTAATTTTTGGGAATTAAGTGTACAGCCGAGATTAGTTTGAAGTTTTGTATGCGACCTAAGTATTGTAACTCGAAGATAAATTAGCATAAGACTTCAGTGCTGTAAGATTATCTTCTGTTAAGATGCTTTGTCATACTCCTCTTTCAAGATGATATTGCTTGTGTTACTTGGGAAAACAAGACAGGCTCACAGTTTTAGGGGTGTGCACTTTTACAAGAAGCCTTTTTTTTACTGTTACAATAACTTCATATTCCTAAACTGAATAAAATTCAGGCGGTGTGAGTACCCTATGTCAGTTTTCTCTGGATTGAAAATGGACTAAATTAGAGATAAAAGCACTTTAATTTAAGCAAAAGAAAGTAATGTTTTTGATGTTAGAATTGACTTTTAAAGGCTGACATCGTGTTGGTTTATGATATATGGGAGGTTACTGTTCTGTTTGACTTCAAAGCTGATCCAACAAGCTGCTCTGTTGTGGGTGGCATATTAATTTTACTGTAAATAGGTGCTGAGGCTTGAGGTAGTGTTTCTAAGGCAGGACAGGGTAAGGTGTGTTCTCTCTAGAGTAAAAGACAAAAAAGTTAATTCTGTACTCAAAGATACCTTGTACTGGGCTCTGCTGGGGTATGGTATCCCCTGGGAATTGTAGTAGTAAGGTGAACATCATCTCTTGTGAGAACATCATCTTTTGGTCCAGGCAAAGAACTTAGTGAGATGACCCATATTGCCTTTATTTCAGAAGCAAAAATCAATGAATAAAATTCAAAGTTAAAACTTGGAGAAGGACACAGCCCAGTAAAGTACATATATTAATTGCATCTTTCTTTTTGCGTGAAAACAACTCTTGAGGAGTTTCAGATGTTGATAGCGAATATTTAGTTGTTTCTAACTAAAGAAGTTCTAAACCAGCTGTTTTTCAAAGTGAAGAATGTGGAGTAGGAAGCCTTGACAGAACTTTTAATGTTAATAATTTCTCTGTCATGGCAGGTATGTAAACAAAGTGATGGGAGATACAGAAACTTACCTGGTAAATAAAATATTAATATAATTGAAATAAATTGAAAATCACGTATCTAGAGGACTGAAGATGCACTGTTGCATTCCAGTAGGTTTTTAGTTGATTTGTGACTGTGCTGCTCTAACCTCACCTTTCCGTGCAATTCGACCACATCCCTTAGATGAAGTCAGGAGGTTTCTCCTGTAGCACGTCTGAGAGGCCACCAGAGTGACATTGTGTGGGTGTGCAGGTGACCAGTCACAAGCATGGCACAGGACACACAGGACATGTTTCCTGTGCTGCTCTCAAAAGAGTTTTAACCAGTTTTGGCCCACGAGGTGAGTAAATTGTGGTGCTGAATGTGCAGAGTGTAACTGCTGCCTGCCCAGGAGCTGAAATAAAATAAAGGCTGTTTATTAGGATAAATTGTAGTGAAGGGGAGGGTAAGTAAATTCTGGTCTTAAACACAGTTTTTGGAGCTTGGAAAAGTCCCTCAAAATTAGATTTTTATTCTTTTTCCTTGGTAAGCTAGAAATTGTGGTATCAGATGTCCACAGTAGTAAAGCTAATTCAGTGTGCTCTAAAGCACTTATCTGTGAATAAAGGCCTTCGTGTTCTAGAAACCCTCAATGCCCTAAATGAAACAATCAGATGACAATGTATGTTGGAAAATAAGAGTGTGGTGTAGGCTTAGAGATTAGAGAAATAAAGATAAGAGTTAATACTGTGAGCTGTCATGAGTGTGTGCTTGGTATTAGGAGAGATGTATTCAGAGTAGAAATAACACTGGAAATCCATAAGGGTGCCACATGTGCCCAATAAAAGAGATGGACATTGACTTTCTAAGTAATGTAGAGTGGACATTAGAGAGGATGTGCTGTGCTTTCAAGGGGAGGATGGTAGAACAGTGAAATACTGAGAGATCCCAGTTATTGTGTCCTAAAAATACATGATCAGCTGTTCTTGACAGAATTGTGAATTCTCTCTCCTTGGACAGTTTAACTTCTTTAAAGCTTCTGCTAACATGGCAAGCTCAGAAGTTGGAAGGTAGAAAGTTAATAATAATTGGTCGAGGTCCCATTTCCAGCCTGAGGCAACGAGATCTGAAGATTGTACATTGGCTGGGAATGTTTCTCCTCACCCAGCAGCCTCAGCCTGTGGGGAGCGTTGGGAGGGCTGGGCTTTGACCACCTGCAAGGAGAAGAGTTCTAAGGTGTTGAGTTCTTTACCATCACCTTTATTCTCTGGGTACTCAGATCTGTTGTCTCTGAAGCCCACTGTTAGTGCCTTTGGAGAGACATGAGAATATAATGGTAAAAAAGGGTTTATGATCCCATCCTGCCTGTCTTGCCTTCCTGTTCCTCAAAACTCCCACTTTGTTCATATTCTTTCTCTCTGTTTATTTTAACTCTCTCCTCTCCAGACAGCAAGGTGTGTTACTCCGCTGTGCAAAGCCCAAAGCAGTTGTTAAGTTGGTGTTCTAAAAGAGAAGGTGACTGATGGACAAAGGATAACAGAAGATCAATAAACACAGTCAACAGTGGTGTTTTCCCATAAAGGTCAGGAGGGCAGAGGAAATGAATTGTTTGTGAACCAGGCTTTAATATTCATTACCCAGTGTCTCAGTGGGTTATAAAGTGTTGTGCTCCCTGACCCCGCTGGTGTGGGATGACAGGGATGTTGCAGGAGGATGTCCCATAGTGCTGTGAACATATTGCATGTCCTGTCAATGCAGGATTGTTATCCTGAAGCTGTGAGAAGATGGGATGGTCAAACTTAGAATAGGATCTCTTAAAAGGGTATGAAAATGGATATTCAGGAGTTGGATCTGTTTGAGCCTGTAAAAACTGCTGTATTGGGTTTTAGTAGCTTAAGTAAAGACTGAGAGCTGTAAGACTCTGGAGCCTACTCTGGATTTCATGTGTTTTGTTTAAATTATATGTCAGTTGTAAAATAGGACTACAAAAATACAAACACAAACCAAGCTACTATCTCCTTTGATACTGGGAATTTCAAAGCAGGTGGCAGAGGCTGCAGTGAAGTTCTGATCAGAAATTACATAGCTGTAAAAATGGCTTTGTTTCACTGGAAGTCAAGATTAAGGCTGAGGAAAGAAAAATGTCCAGACAGGCTCAAAGAATGAGTGTTGTGTGAGGGAAGGGAGATGGTCATGCTCCCACGAGTGTGTTTGGGAGCTGGGTTAGGGAATGTCACTGGGCATGTGACACCAAGAGCAGACAGGGAAAGTTGTCCGAGTTTGGCACTTCAAGCTGCAGAATGTTCTGTTTCCTTCACTTCTGAAACTTGGGAGTATCCAGAACCTGCCTGGTGTGGGCTCTGCCAGGATCCCAGAGTTCCCCTGGCTGAGGCCGAGAGTGATAACAGCAGAACATTGCAGAGCATTCCCATAGCCCTTCCTGACCATCACCTCCCACCTCTTGTTCCCGTCTCCCTTCCCCAGAGTGCCCATGGAAGGTGATTTCTGCTCTGGATGCCTTCCAAGCCAGGCATTTCCATTCTTGCTTAATATGTATCCATCGTGCCTGGAGGGGCTCCTCTTTCTTTCCTAATACTCTTGTGTAAGGCTTGGGCTTGGTCACATGAATAAATGTACTTTGGTGGTAAATTAAAGTGATCCCTACGATTCTTGCCCTGTTGTAGCTGCTGTGAGGTTTGATAAGGCTTATCTTTGCAAGACCTTCTCAGTAGCAGTTCTTTTTGTCTAATCGCTTTCACACTTCTTCCTTTTCAACTTGACTTGAAGTGTTAAACAAAGGAACTGGGAGAAGGGGAAAGAGCTAAGGGCGAGATAATCCTAAATGTCTGTCAGCTCAAAAATGTGCTGGTTAATAATAAAGGCTTTGCCAGGGCTTTAATAAACCTGAGCTAATGCGTGACAACTTTACAGAAGTATTTTTATAAAAGAGAAAGAAAAAAATTTCTCCTCTTTATATGTTATTTTTAGTGAATAACAAGAGATGTGGATGGAGAAAGGAACAGCTGTGCATACAAACTATCTCCTGTTTTGTAATTCCCTTTATTCCCTGTTATCATTCCCTTTATGACAACAGGCTGAGTTTTCCCAGAAGCCTTAACACTGCTGAGAGGTTGCAGGCAAGCTGAAGAGCAGTGCCTACCAGTTCCAGAAAACTCTGAGTGTCTGAAAAGGTGCATTTAGAGATGTGTTGTGTTTAAGATTATAAACATTTGACTGTGTGGATCTCCATTTCTTTTGTCATGCAGCTTTGAGATGTGGATTGGCAATTGGTTTTGAGTATTGAACAGATTGTATGAACCCTTGCTTTTCTGGTGAGTTGGGACAACTTTCCAGTCTCATTTTTATTGATCAGCTTTAAAAAAATTCTAGCTAGATATTTATTATTCTTCCTATCAAGTCAAGCTAAAACTTCACAATTAAAATGATAAAAATGAGTAAATCGTGGTGCTGCCCCATGAGTTGTTCTAGTGCTTGACTTTCTCTGGATGTAGTTTTTTAAACCTGCTTCTTCCATTCAGCTGCCCTAAGCAGTACATTTACCAATGAAACCTGCTGTGGGTTGACTGTCTTGTTGAAATTTTTCTACTCACAGAATGGGTGAGGTGCAAACAGTGGCTTTTTGAGCCTCCTCCAATACCCCAGACCAAATCGGTGCTGATTTGTGTCTGTGCAGATCTCAGGCTGTTGAAGAAGGCATTGTCTGTGATGATCACACTTCTCACTCCTTCCTGGAGAACACCTGAGGGCTGTGGAGCTGTTCCTCAGTGGAACAGAGAGGAGTTTGGCTCGGGGGGGA